TTTTCGGCCTCTGCGACGCGGGATTCGATAAGTCGCTTCTTTACTTTTCGAACCATTTCTGCTGATGTTGCTTTTTTTTCTGTTCACTTACTTGACGTCGGGCTACGCTACCAGTATCACGTAACAAGCGATGGTACGAGACACAAATGATTTATTCACATTTAAATGCTGGCTGGAGTGCTCTAACGATAGCCACTTGTGGTTTTCCAGCCAAATATAAAGAAATCACACTATCACGCTTGAATTCCATCACGAATAACTTTTTTTCGGGAAAATTCTCAATGCTTTTTTAAACAATATAATGAGCTCTCACTAAAATAATTTTAACAGCTGTCGGACGAGTGGCTTAGAAATGACAGCAGTCTGACGTTGGTTGCAGTTTTTTTCATCTTACCCTGTATGAGACCGGGAAGGTACCTAATGTGGGGGCTCTTGGGCAGGAGTTCCCTTCGAAATGGTTTCGAAATGTTTATCTGTGCAAGTCTCTCTCCAAAGAGGTCTTCAAAATGGAAGACAACTTGTCCTTTGTTTAAAATTACGTCTTTTAAGGAGTTTCTTAGGCAGAAGCCTTCCCATGGATAGATGACCCACAAAAAGACTTCTATTGTTAGAGCCTCCATTGAAAAAATTCTGAGCATGATAAAAGAACAAAAAAATTGTCGTATTCACTGGAAGATATGTTCTGGTGTAGAACATAGAATGTAATGAACAAATCCTTTTTGCAATATAAGTGGGGTAGATAATCTCTCATTAACAATTTCCTAGCAATTACCTCTTATAAAATTAAATTTTAATTTTGCTCTGCAATGACTTGCAATTTTCTTTTCAAATCCAACAATTCTTTTGTCTGCAAACTTTTGTTCCAAATAAAATTTGGCATTAATTAAATAAAAAAAAACAACTTGCTTTCCATTTCATTTGCCAGAGAAAAGTTAATTATTTATTGAATGTCTCTTCAGAAATGTTGCCAACTTTGTTGTCCTTTCTGCCCCCTCTCTCTCCCTCTCAAAACTTTGTTTATTTTTGACAAGTAGAAAGGTCGTTTCAATCCAATTGAAATGCAAAACTTATTTTAATGGAATATTTCAAATTTTTTTCATAATTACATTTCACTTGAAGTTGAGGAAGAAAAATAAAAGATTTTTATTTTAACAATAGCAACAAATAATAATAATAATCTTCTTTGATTTGTATCCTTGATTTATCAAGGAAATTGGAATTACATTGTCAAACGCAATTATAGGATTTCATGAATGATTTTTCATTTTCTAAAACGCAAAATTCTCGCTCAATACAAACGGCATGATGTTGGAATGAAATGACCATCTTCCTATTAAGGTGCCATCATTCAAAGAGGTTTGGTTGAGAAGATTACAGTTGATAGCATATCTTCGCTGGTCTTCAATTTTATTAAAATTTATTTCTTTGAATATAACTTTTATTTACAATTTTCCGCATCCGAATAATTAAAGTAATTCATCCCCAAAAATTTCAAAAATTTCTTACGCATCATCACAACTATGAATCCGAAAATACTCCTACATACACTTGCCGTAACGGCTCTGAATTATTCCTCGGTTGACAAGGACAAATGGAACGATTTACAATGATTACATTTTCCCATTATCCCACTACTAGTGCTGCTATTGCTCCTGAATGTCAGTACCCACCCACAGGGAGTAGGAGATATTAAGGCAATTGTTATTGCCCTGACATCAGAGTAGAGATTAATCTAATGGAATTGGTCGAATGTGTTTTCGTAGTTTGTTGGCTCTGGCCGAAGTTAATGTTATTAGACAGCCGGCACATATGTATTGTATAAACATACAAACAGATGTACATATGTGTAAATACGTCACCATGGCCTAGCTGGCGACCTGTTATCGTATAATCTAGGATCTACCACAAATAAATATTAATTTTGTTTCCACACTAAAAATATTCGTAGTTTAGTCCAGACTGACAACTCAAACCTATTTGGGTTAGTTGGAAATGCCAACACTAATGAAAATTAACGGCTCTATAATCGTCAGAATATAAAAGTTTAGATTGGGTTTTTATTAGTTTAATATAGAAAGTTGGCCGGTTTTAGTAGATAGAGTACCTCTCTACTACATGTATGCAGTAGATGGAAAAGCTTTTAAAGACAATCAAAAAATAGGAGACCTTTAAGAAGTAATCTATGGAAAAAAATTCTAAATATCCTCTAAAAAAGACTTAAAAAATGTTTAACACACCAAAAGCCCTTCACAGAACCTGTGAATAGATTTGAGGAAGGATGTATTAGGCCATCTACAGGTCTTTAAAATTGGATGACTATTAAGAGGTTTTCTGAAATAGGAAACTTTGAAGGCGCCCTTACATTATTAACCGCATGACGACCTTGTGGGAGTGGTATATTGATGAAGTACCCCGAAATACTTTTAAAATATCTTCCAAGGAAATTAGATATAGCAAATACCCCTCTATAGGCAGAGGATCTTAAAAATCTCTACTGTAGATATAGGATTTTATAGACGGTTGACTTTAAATAGTTTTTTTATAGACTGAACATCTTAAAAAGCTCGTCTATAAACAGAACAGATCCACAAATTTTCATATTAACAGAAGCTTCTGATAAGCTTTTTCTATAGACCGAAGTCATGTGCATTAGTATATTACAAGACTTTCTACCGAAGATCTGACACTTCTGAAAAGCTTTGTATAGAGCGAATGATTTGCATTTTTATATTACAAGACTTTTGTTATTATTTTACAAGGCTTGTTTTTGACCGAAGATCTTCAAAACTATGGAGAAAGAAGACGATGCTCTGACCAAAAGGTTCGAAAAGCTTTTCTTAAGACAGAAGACATTTGCAAAGTACTCGATAAACATACGACTTTTTTGACCGAATAACTTTAGAAGCTTTTCTATATTCCAATGCCTTTGACTAGAACTTCTGCATACAGAAGGGCTTCAGAAGCTTTTGTAAATATAATACCTTAAAAAGCGCTTCTTCACATAAAAGCCCTGAAAATATATATCTAGTTGAGAGAGTGGACCAAAGCTACGCGAAAAATTGTTCTAAAGCCATGGCGATGACTTTGAAAGCTTGTCCATATTTCAACGACTTTGATTAGAACTTCTTCATACCGAAGGCCTTTAGAAGCTCTTATAGACATAATGTGTTGAAAGCCCTTCTGCCCTGAACACCATTACAAGCTCCTGTGGAGAGAGAATCCCATGCGAAGATCTCCCCGAAAAGATTTTCCTACCTTACTATGTACAAAAGTCTTGAAAAGGCCTTCTTCAAAATCCTACCTTTTAAAGATCTTCTTTAAACAGAAAAACTTTAAACGATCTTCTATAAGACCTTCTCTTTTTATAGACAAATGCTTTTGCGAGGTTCGTCTGTGCCCTTTATATAAACGGGAGAGTATAATGGACAGAAGTCTTTCGGAGGTTATTTTAATGATGGAAAACCTTAAAATGATCTTCCATAAATAGGAGACATTCAAGGGTCTGCTAATAGAGAAGGCCTTCTAAAGACTTCTCAAGGGAAGAAGAAAATCAAAAGTTATTTTATAAAGGGAAGAGATTCAAAAGCTATTCCAACGACGTCGACAGGGAACCGCGCCCCTATTAGGAGATTTTGCTCGAATATTTCTTTTTGTTTGACGGTTGAGTCCTGGATTCTTCTTTAAGCAAAAAAAACATTAAAAACTCTTCTATAAGACCTTCAAAAGCTCTTCTATAGACAGGACATCTCTCTCTATAAGCTCTTCTATAGACATTAAACTGCCAAAAGCTCTTTTGTTGACAAAGACCTTCAAATGGTCCACTTTTGAAAAAGGCCTTAAAGAGTCCTCTGTAGACAGAAGTTTTTCAAAAAGCGTTTCATCTAAGAAATACCTTCAAAAGTTTTTTCAAGACAAAGTCTTTTAAAGAGTCCTCGGTGGACAGCTAACCTTCAAAAGCTTGTCTATTGACATAATATCTTAAAAAGCTCTTCTATAGACAAGAGATCTACAAAAACTATTCTATAGACCTGTAGCCAAGCTTCTCTATGGCCTCTGAACCTTCAAAATATAATCTACAGTCAAATTACACTAAAATTACTTTCCTGTGTCGGTTAGGAGGTCTTCTGTAGAGAAAAGAACTTCATAAAAAGCCATTCCATTGGATATACTACTATTAAATGAGAGACAGTATACCTTCAAAGGGTATCTTAAAGACAAAAGTCCTCCTCTGTAAAAAAAAATAATCCAATTGGAGAGTGGAGAAATGAAAATCTTAAAGAGTCCTCTGTAGACAGAAGTTTTTCAAAAAGCGTTTCATCTAAGAAATACCTTCAAAAGTTTTTTCAAGACAAAGTCTTTTAAAGAGTCCTCGGTGGACAGCTAACCTTCAAAAGCTTGTCTATTGACATAATTCAAAGGGTATCTTAAAGACAAAAGTCCTCCTCTGTAAAAAAAAATAATCCAATTGGAGAGTGGAGAAATGAAAACCTTTCAAGGGTCATCTGAGGCCGGAAATGTTGCAAAGGGTCTTTTATGAACAGGAAACCTTAAAAAGAACTTGCAAGGATAGAAGACATTTGAAAGATAAAAGACTTTAAAGAGTATTCTACGACTACTTAAGTCTGGAGTATTTTCCATTGCCTTAACTTCTCCTCTACTCCCTATTCGAATGTTTTATGTGATTTGAGGACTTTTAAAGGTCCCTTTAAATAGACCAATTTCAGACACTCAAAATTCTGCGCTTGCGAATAAATGGCTTTCATTGATAAAAGAGTTGCTAAAGGACTTCGAACATAAAATAATTTCTTAAAGGGAGATTTCTTTTATTTAGGAGACTTTGTAAAGGTCATCTTAAGATAAATAGTTTTCAAAGGCCTATAGGAAAATACAGGCAATATTTTGAGCATCTTTTATCCAAACATACATACTTTTAATACCCACCACCGTGCTAGTCTAAGAATAGCTAACGTGCTAGTGTAATAAGTGCAAAGTGTACCTACCGATTTCTCATATCAATATCCGGCGTCTTGATAATGCTAAACACTACCGATTTGGAATATTTGGCAGTGTCAGGACGAGTGGAACTTGCCGATGCTGTTGAGTTGTTGTCAACACTGCCAATGCTGGAGCTGTTCAAATCTGTATCATATTCACCATCTCTCTTTAGTGCATCGCTAATGGTTGCAGCCGTATTTGGTGTTGTTGCTGTCGTCGTCGTGGTTGTTGTTGTTGTTAGGTGAATACAATTCGTTTCGGAGTTAGAGTCATCTTCGGCATTGCCATGTGGATTCTGTTGGGTTTTCATGGTGGTGTCAGAAATTTATTCGGTGGGACAGATGGGCGGGCAAATGTATTGGGAATTTTTTTGCCCTTTTCAGTTAATTCCTTTCCCCTCTCTCGCTTCCACTCTCCCTCCTTCTCTCCCTCTCTTTTATTTTCAGCCTGTTGAAATAGGTTTATGTTTAAATATTGTTGTTGTTTATGTTTGGAATGTTTAAGTGTTTGGAAAAATCTGTTTTTCGTTCTATGTTGTTGTGGTTGTTGTTTGGTTTTTTTTTTTGGTTTTCCGAAGAAGAACGTGGGTGCAATTAGTTTTGTAACACACAAACACAGCTGTTTTGATTTTGTTGTTTTTCTTTTGTTTCTGTTGTCTTAGGGGGTTAATTTGTTAAAAACAAAATTCCTGTATCCTTTTGAAGGATGTACTTCATATCTTATCGGACAGGTTTTACAGGAAGCCTGTTATCTATATGCTAGAAGATGTGTTTGATTTTTTGTTTTTATAGAAATGAGTTCAATAGCCCTTTACAGTTCATGCATCTGCATGGCTGGGAATTCATACAGTGACTCGAGGTGATAATGGTGCAAAAAATTATTTAATCTATTTTAATTAATTTTTAATTTATTTATTTAATGTTGCAAAAAAAATTATTTAATTTTTTTAATGAAATCCTTAAAGAAGTATAGGAAATAATTGTCATAATTTTTGTACAGCTACCACATGAAAATTAGTGTCGATCATAATTATTCTTAAGATTTTTAGTAATTATACAAGGCTGAGTGTATAATTACAAAAAATCTTCAGAATGGTGGCTACCGAGGCCCAAAATGCGTCTCATCGATATAAATATTTTTGACCTCATGTCTCATTGGACAAAATCTCTTTCAGAATATTTTACGTCGATATAGACATGTCCGTCTGTCTGACGATAAATCCTGAAGGGAATATCAAATTAAGTCCAAACTAGACAAAATTATAGTAAAATGTATACGATATTTGAAAATGGGAAACATTGGATAATCTTTCAGATATCTCCCCTACGAAAGTTTCAAAAAATTCTAATAAAACTGTAATACAAAGAAAATTAAGTACCCGATCTAATTCAAATATTAGTTTGCTGTAATGAGCGTACCTACCCCATCAAAAAATTTAAATTTTCAATTCTAATTTTAGTAATGTGTAAAATGGGCATACGATTTTTGCAAACCTTGCTTATTCCAATATTTTTGGTGATTTTACAACATTTGAAAATGAAATCTATTTGTTCAGTCTTTTTCGAACCTCAAGTTTGGGAACAAAAAAAAACTTTATTTGGAAGTGTCTGCTATTTCTGAATTTTTGTTAAATACATTTTTGGTGTCATTATTTATAAAACCTTTTCCAAATCGAAAAAAAATAGTCATGAGTCCCACTTTTTACCTTTCGTACATATTTAGTACGAATTTTTTAAAGTCCGGTTCATATGTAATTTTGATACAAAATTTTAGAGCTCCAAATCTCATCGAAAAACCCAATATTACATCTTCAAAATTCAATAACTTTGCCTGCAAAAAAATCAGCTCTTTCCTGTTTCTCAAGGCCAATGTCAAAAATGTAGTAACATCTTCTACCTTTTATGCCCTTTAAAAAAATAAATAAAAAATAAAAACAACATCAATGCAACCAAAATCTTTGTTCCAGATTTCCGGAATCGCTTTTCACAATGGCATAATATCGAGTACTTTTTGTACTTTATGAAATTCCTCTTTGTACTTTTTATATCCTCCACCATAGTATGGAGGGTATATTAAGTTTGTCATTCCGTTTGTAACACCTCGAAATACACATTTTAGACCACAAACTATATATATTCTTGATCAGCATAAAATTCTATGTCGATTTAGCGATGTCCGTCCGTCTGTGGAAATCACTCTAGCTTCCGAACGGATTGAAGTAGATTGATAAAATTTTTCTCAAATGTATGTTATATCTGCAGGACTTTTGGTATTGAAAATGGGCCATGTAGGTCCACGTATTGGTATAGCCCCCATATAACTGTACCTCCCGATATTCGGCATTTTGATGACTTTAGGGACATTTTTCACCGGAATAGTTTCAAATTTGGTATTTGAAGTTCGTAGTGGATACTACAGCCTAAGACAGAAAATGTTCTGTGCAGGTCCACGTCTTCTTTTTTCTTTTCTCTGGTTTTTCTTCCAAAATTCATAGTACAGTACACTTAGTACACTTAAAGTTTTCAAAAGCCCAGCCTTATCTCACCTTAAAACCTACACCAACATTGTCGCACGCATAAAAGCAAATGGAGTACCCGATGTAGTCCTAACTTTAACATGGTTTATATAAATATATCAGACAGCTAAGGAGCAAAAATCCTTATCTTATCCCTGGATAAAAAGACAAAAATTTTTCCCACAATAGGACAACAATTTTTCTCATGCTCGCACTACTCCGCAAATAGTCAATATCTGTCCATCCTCCTGGAACCACTCGTCCATGAAAAGAAAAAAAAATTGGGTATTAATAACCTTTTTAAAATAAACTTTTGATCTGTTGTAGAAATTGGTCACTTAATTTCAATCTCATTCTCTCTCTCTCTCTGAAATCTTCACAAAAATTGGTTTCGGAAAATGGAATAATATTTTTATATCTTCGACCTGTAGTGGAATTACCTAACACATTTTTTGAGTAACCGAAAAAAGTCGGTAAAATTAAAATCAAAGCAGTCGCTAAGACTAAGACCTACCGATAGATACTAATGTTGTCAACTTTAATTTCTTTTTTATTTCAAAATTTTGGGCAACCGATTTGTCGGTAAATCAAAAAATGAGTTAGAGAATCCCAGTATTGGTTTTGAAATATATCTATCCACCGTTAGGTATATCTCACATAGAACGGTACCATTAGATTTTCGGAATTTGGAGGCTTTGTCTCCAATGGTTATCCAAATCAGCTGTAATTCGATATTTAATATTCTTGGTGGGTAGATGATTTACTCCTCGCAAAAATATTCAATGTAGGTTCACATCTTAGTTTAGGCCCCACATAATTGCACCTCCTGATTTTCTGTAATTTGTAGTTTTTGTCACAACTTTATTAATATGATATGTTAGATTTTTTGTGAGTGGGAGTCCACATGTAACGGAACTGCCAAATTTTGGAAGATTTTGAGGATTATCGAATTAGCCACAAGTCAAGTTCAGAAATGGATTTCGATACCATTTGGTGAGGGTTGTGATTGGTTAGTTTCATATAAAACTATATGAAAAATGACAGAAATGTATCCATTTTGGAGTGGGCCAGATCCACAGGTCTCTCACCCTGCGTACTTCTCTGTGGAGAAAGATAACACATTTTTGGCCGGCTGAATTTTTTTGTAGTTCCTAACATTGTCATTGCAAAGGTCACGAAATAGACATTTTCTTTACCAATTTTTGCTTGAAACACTGTTATTGAGATATTGTCACTGATATTGAAATATATATTTCCAGCGTTGCCCCTGGTTTCTAAAAAATATATATTTTAAAAGCCTTTACTTATTTTATTCTTTTAATTTTTTTTCCAGCCCATTATCACTTTGAGCCACTGTATTTGTTGACATATTAAAAAAATTAAAAAAAAACATATACACGCACTCACAAACAACACTCTGGAATGGAAAATTCTTTGTTGCCGTTCTTTGTGCTTTATCAGATTTATTTTCTGGCGGAAAATTTCTTTATTTCGACGTTAAAAGAAATTTTTAAATTTCATAAAAAATATTTTTTTCTTTTTTATATTTCAAACACGTAATTTTTTATTAAAAAATATTTTATTTTGCTCAATAAATATTATATAGTTCATTCATTAATCGAATAGAACACGTACGAGAAATACAATAAAAGTCACTCCGGTCCTTCCTTAGTAAGGTCGTGCGTTATACTGAAGTTGCAATTCTATGATGAGTGCAGCGATGAATGTGGGACCCTAGCAATTGGCGGGAGAAACAAAACAACGGTGCATCTCACTCTCCTCAGTAAATAGCCATCATTGTTGTAGCAGTCTCTTCCCACAATTCCGGTGCTCCTCTCAACGCTTGAATATTAGTTTCGGAATAAAGTTATTGCCGCAAGCAATATTTCCCATTGTTCCCCGTGTTCATTCACTTCATGAACTGTTGCTCGGCTCTTACCTATCCGTCAGTCACTCAGTCAGCCAGCTATGCATTCATCACAACAATAGACAAATGATGCATATCTTCTCACCTCGCCGAGTAGGAAGCTAGAATTCTCTGCTGAGATAAATGTTCGTCTTTGTTGTCTGTCTCTCACGCATTTTTTATTGTTGTTATTTTGGAAATTTATCTGCCGCCTCGGTAACCACACAAAGGCGAATTGCAGCTCCGTGCGGCATTTGACCGACCAACGACCCACACACAGCTCTTTTCAAACAAAGGGAAATGCTATTTGCCTTTGTCTTGTAAGGTGTCATCTTTTGAGAGTGAGCGAAAGAGGCACCCAGGAAGAGAATATATGAGATAAGTATAGCTATGCGTTAGATAAAGGTGCAGAGATACAGATAAGTCTCATGAGATACGTTTGCAAAATTAGGATATATCGAAGAAATTAAGATATATTGCAACAGAAAATCTAAAGAATGTCGTCTAGAACACCTGAAAGAAGTCGTCTAGAAAAATAGAAGAAGGTCTTTTGAAAGACCTCAAGGCGGTATCGTAGAAGAGCTGGATTAGGTCTTCTAGAGGAGTAAAGGAGGATCTTCCAGGAGGTTTGGAGAAGGTCTTTCGAAGACCTTCTTGTATTCTTTAAGACAACCTGAAGAAGGTCTTAATGAAGAGTTAGAGAAGGTATTTTAGAATAGCTGCAAAAGGTCTCCAATCTGATCTGAAGATCTGAAGGTAGATCTTCAATTTGATCTGAAGGTATGTCTTCTAGAAGAGCTATAGATTGGTCTTTTAGAAGATCTATAGATTAGCCTTTTGGAAGAGCTGGAGGTAGATCTTTTAGAAAAGCTGGTGGTAAGTTTTCCACAAGAGCTGGAGGTAGGTCTTCTAGAAGAGCTGAAGGTGGGTCTTCTAGAAGAGCTGACGGTAGGTCTTCTAGAAGAGCTGAAGGTAGGTCTTCTAGAAGAGCTGAAGGTAGGTCTTCGAGAAGAGCTGAAGGTAGGTCTTCTAGAAGAGCTGAAGGTAGGTCTTCTAGAAGAGCTGAAGGTAGGTCTTCTAGAAGAGCTGAAGGTAGGTCTTCTAGAAGAGCTGAAGGTAGGTCTTCTAGAAGAGCTGAAGGTAGGTCTTCTAGAAGAGCTGAAGGTAGGTCTTCTAGAAGAGCTGAAGGTAGGTCTCTAGAAGAGCTGAAGGTAGGTCTTCTAGAAGAGCTGAAGGTAGGTCTTCTAGAAGAGCTGAAGGTAGGTCTTCTAGAAGAGCTGAAGGTAGGTCTTCTAGAAGAGCTGAAGGTAGGTCTTCTAGAAGAGCTGAAGGTAGGTCTTCTAGAAGAGCTGAATTTAGGTCTTCTAGAAGAGCTGAATTTATGTCTTCTATAAGAGCTAAGGGTAGGTCTTCTAGAAGAGTTGCACAAGGCCTTCTAGTCGTAAAAGAGTTGCAGAAGTTCTTCTAGTCGTAGAAGAGCTGAAGAAGGTCTTCTAGCCATAGAAAAGCTGCCGAAGGTCTTCTAGCCATAGAAGAGCTGCAGAAGGTCTTCTGCCCATTGAAGGACTGCTGAAGGTCTTCTGCCCATTGAAGGACTGCTGAAGGTCTTCTGCCCATTGAAGGACTGCTGAAGGTCTTCTGCCCATTGAAGGACTGCAGAAGGTCTTCTGCCCATTGAAGGACTGCAGAAGGTCTTCTGCCCATTGAAGGACTGCAAAAGGTTTTCTAGCCATAGAAGAGCTGCAAAAGGTCTTCTAGCCATAGAAGAGCTGCAAAAGGTCTTCTAGCCATAGAAGAGCTGCAAAAGGTCTTCTAGCCATAGAAGAGCTGCAAAAGGTCTTCTAGCCATAGAAGAGCTGCAAAAGGTCTTCTAGCCATAGAAGAGCTGCAGCAGGTCTTCTCGCCATAGAAGAGCTGCAGAAGGTCTTCTAGCCATAGAAGAGCTGCAGAAGGTCTTCTAGCCATAGAAGAGCTGCAAAAGGTCTTCTAGCCATAGAAGAGCTGCAAAAGGTCTTCTAGCCATAGAAGAGCTGCAGAAGGTCTTCTAGCCATAGAAGAGCTGCAGAAGGTCTTCTCGCCATAGGAGAGTTGCAGAAGGTCTTCTCGCCATAGAAGAGCTGCAGAAGGTCTTCTCGCCATAGAAGACTGGCAGAAGGTCTTCTCGCCATAGAAGAGCTGCAGAAGGTCTTCTCGCCATAGAAGAGCTGCCGAAAGTCGAAAACTGCAGAAGGTCTCTGTCCACAGATAATGTAAAGAAATGTATTTTCCATAGAAGAGCCCGGAAGAAGTTTATTATCCATAGAGGAATTGGAAAAGGTCGTTTATTAATTTATAATGGTCTTCTATGGTTTTCCTCCACATTTACCATGACACACATAGCGAATATGGCAATGAAAATTTGGAAAATATTGATTATCATCGAAGATATTCGAAATGGTAATGAAAGCAAAAGAATAAAAATTGAAAATCATTGGGCCCGTTGTCAATGAGGAAAAACCACCAATGTTATATTCATGACCGCTATTGAGTCACACACACACTCCCACATTCTCACATGTACGTAAAACACATTTTTTCTTTTCCACATACACAAATGCTATTTGTATTTCAACGAGCGAGTGTGTGTGTGTGTGTTTGCAAGACAACAATTGATGGAAATGTAAACAATAATTTCAGAACGAAAAAGAATGTTTGGAAACTAATTTATTTTTCTCTTTCTCGCGTTTTCTTTGCCGGTCCAACAAATTTTCTCTCTTATCTTGAATATATAAATAATATTTTCTCTTTATGAAATTTCTCTTATGAATTCTGTTCTATAAGAGCTAAGGGTAGGTCTTCTAGAAGAGTTGCACAAGGCCTTCTAGTCGTAAAAGAGTTGCAGAAGTTCTTCTAGTCGTAGAAGAGCTGAAGAAGGTCTTCTAGCCATAGAAAAGCTGCCGAAGGTCTTCTAGCCATAGAAGAGCTGCAGAAGGTCTTCTGCCCATTGAAGGACTGCTGAAGGTCTTCTGCCCATTGAAGGACTGCTGAAGGTCTTCTGCCCATTGAAGGACTGCTGAAGGTCTTCTGCCCATTGAAGGACTGCAGAAGGTCTTCTGCCCATTGAAGGACTGCAGAAGGTCTTCTGCCCATTGAAGGACTGCAAAAGGTTTTCTAGCCATAGAAGAGCTGCAAAAGGTCTTCTAGCCATAGAAGAGCTGCAAAAGGTCTTCTAGCCATAGAAGAGCTGCAAAAGGTCTTCTAGCCATAGAAGAGCTGCAAAAGGTCTTCTAGCCATAGAAGAGCTGCAAAAGGTCTTCTAGCCATAGAAGAGCTGCAGCAGGTCTTCTCGCCATAGAAGAGCTGCAGAAGGTCTTCTAGCCATAGAAGAGCTGCAGAAGGTCTTCTAGCCATAGAAGAGCTGCAAAAGGTCTTCTAGCCATAGAAGAGCTGCAAAAGGTCTTCTAGCCATAGAAGAGCTGCAGAAGGTCTTCTAGCCATAGAAGAGCTGCAGAAGGTCTTCTCGCCATAGGAGAGTTGCAGAAGGTCTTCTCGCCATAGAAGAGCTGCAGAAGGTCTTCTCGCCATAGAAGACTGGCAGAAGGTCTTCTCGCCATAGAAGAGCTGCAGAAGGTCTTCTCGCCATAGAAGAGCTGCCGAAAGTCGAAAACTGCAGAAGGTCTCTGTCCACAGATAATGTAAAGAAATGTATTTTCCATAGAAGAGCCCGGAAGAAGTTTATTATCCATAGAGGAATTGGAAAAGGTCGTTTATTAATTTATAATGGTCTTCTATGGTTTTCCTCCACATTTACCATGACACACATAGCGAATATGGCAATGAAAATTTGGAAAATATTGATTATCATCGAAGATATTCGAAATGGTAATGAAAGCAAAAGAATAAAAATTGAAAATCATTGGGCCCGTTGTCAATGAGGAAAAACCACCAATGTTATATTCATGACCGCTATTGAGTCACACACACACTCCCACATTCTCACATGTACGTAAAACACATTTTTTCTTTTCCACATACACAAATGCTATTTGTATTTCAACGAGCGAGTGTGTGTGTGTGTGTTTGCAAGACAACAATTGATGGAAATGTAAACAATAATTTCAGAACGAAAAAGAATGTTTGGAAACTAATTTATTTTTCTCTTTCTCGCGTTTTCTTTGCCGGTCCAACAAATTTTCTCTCTTATCTTGAATATATAAATAATATTTTCTCTTTATGAAATTTCTCTTATGAATTCTGTTCTCTTGTTTTCATTACAGGCCGTTGTTACACTACATGTTACAATACATAGAAGCAGATTAGTGGTAAGTGTGTATGTATGTATGTAATAAACCAAATCTAAGCATTTGTGGTAAAATTGAATATTTTTCCAACGGAAATCTGATTTACATGAACGAAAGGAAGGAAGTCGATAGAAAAATCAATAAGCGTTTGATATAAAAGAACGACCGACTTGTCAGCGAATTAGGTTAATTTTTCGCAAAACCATTAAAATAAGTTTGACTAAAATATTCGAATGTTTTTGCCTGAAGGAGCTCTTGAGGTATGTTTATCAAAGTATGTTATAAAAGTATGGCAAAACTTATTATAGCCTTTCATGGGAATGGTGGGAATTGTAAAATTTTTCCATTGGCTCAGATTTCGAATGAAATTGATATTTTCTTGTTAGCTTGAATGTCAAATATTTGCAACATTCGCATGATTTTGATAACTCAAAATTATTTAAATTAATCGTGGCGGTTTGTATTTTTAATCTTAATTATTTTCTATAGATTGGCATATTAAACGGACTGATGGGCTACTGTTAAAACTTTTTTGAAGATGTTTAATTTTTAATAAATACAAAAAATAACAAAAAATATTTAAAGGTTATGCATCTATCGCGACTAGTTACTCCTTTTGGACACCTAATGCTCAATTTTATTGACCCTAGAGTTTGAACAAAAAGTAGAAGCTAGATGTAGTATCTGTCGTATCTTATATGGCCCCTTATATACAAGCAATACACATACAAGTAAAAAAGCTGTAAGTTCGGCCGGGCAATATTCAAAAAAAAAATAAATCCGTTAAAAATTCTTTTAAAATCTTAAAAATACCGAATGTAGCCGTATGTATGCGACGACGTGGACCTGCATAGGAAATGTTTCCATAAGCAATTACAATATTCAAATACGAAACTTGAAAAAAAATCATTGAATAATGTAGCTAAAATCATCAAGGTACCGAACATAGGAAGGTACTATTATATGGGGGCTATGCTAGACGTGGACCTGCATAGAAAATTTCCTGTCATATTCTGTAGTATCCATTACAAATGCCAAATTTGAAACAATATGTCGCTAAAATCGTCAAAATATCGAATATCGGAAACAATTCCGGTGTTGTTTGCGGTGATCAACACTTTGGAATTTTTAGTGCCAACCTTGTATTCCAAATTACTCCAGACAAAGTAGTCCAACAGATTGGTATCCGGAGATTTTGGTGTCCATAGTGCGCTGGAAATGAAGCGAGGAACCTAATTTTGTAACCATTCTTGGGTGGCGCTTGCTGAGTATGATGGTGCTGAGTCCTATTGGAATCTCCAAGCTCTGCGGCCAAAATATTTGCGTGGCCAAGGCTTTAATACACCTTCCAGAATATTTTCGCGATAATATGGCATTTATTCTGATGCCACGGTCGATTAATACGAGCGGAGAGCGACCATCGGCTGTTATGGCGGCCCACACTACCACCATGGCCGGCGCTTGAGTTCTGGTGAACCTTCTGCTGAAGGTGCACATTTTCAGCTGACCTCTTTGGCAAGTAAATACGATCATTTTGTTTGTTTACAAACTGCTGGACAACGAATGTTTTATCATCGGAGATAACCAAATTCGGCAGTTCACCATTTTCGGCCAAGCGAAGCAACTCTTTAGCTCTTTTGAGTCTATTTTCTTTCTGTTGCGGTGTAAGTTTTTGCACTTTTTGGAATTTCAATGACTTTACCCCGAGCTCGTTTTTCAATATTTGCCGAATGAAATATTGCGATAATTCAGCTCAGAAGCCATTTTTCGGCCACTGCGACGCAGGTTTCGATCAAGTCGCTTCCTTACTTTTCGAACTATTTCTTCCGATGTTGCTGTTTTCACTTTCACTTCCTTGACGTCGGGCTACGGTAACGAGCGATGGTACGAAACACAAAAAAATTATTCACATTTAAATGCTGGCTGGAGTGCTCTAACGATAGCCACTTATGGTTTTCCAGCCAAATATAAATAAATCACACTATCACGCTTGAATTCCATCACGAATAACTTTTTTCTTGGAAAATTCTCACCAGAAATGCTTTTCTACGCTTGTAAACAATATAATGAGCTGTCACTGGAATAATTTTAACAGTTGTCGGACGAGTGGCTTAGAAATGACTGAAGTTGGTTGCAGTTTTTTCATCTCACCCTGTATGTCCTTATAAGCAAAGTTCCCCATTTTTTGGTTGATTATTTTTTTGGTGTTGAAGTTTTAGACAATTTGTTGAAAAAATAGAATTTTTTGGCCAGAAAGTGTTATATTTTAATATTTAAAGCCCCGACTATGTTGTTCACTTTTTGTAGCATAGGAATCCATTGAAAAATCCTAGAACCTGGTCGAATTTGGTCCAAGTTATTAATATTTTTATACCCTCCACCATAATATGGAGGGTATATTAAGTTTGTCATTCCGTTTGTAGCACCTCGAAAAATACATTTTAGACCCCACAAATTATATTATATTTTATATATATTCTCAAATGTATATTATGACTGCAAGACTTTTTGGAAAATGGGCCATATAGGTTCACGTTTTGGTATAGCCTCCATATTACAGTACCTCCCTATATTCGGTACTTTGATGATTATAGCGACATTATTCACCGGAATCGTTTCAAATTTGGTATTTGAAGTTCGAAATGGATACTATAGTTTGTGACAATAAATTGCTTATGCAGATCCAGGTCTTCGTATAGACCCCAAAATAACGGTAACTCCCTGTATTCGGTATTTTGATGATTTTTGCGACATTTTTCACAGAAATTCAATTCAAATTTCTTATTTGAAGTTCCTAATGAGTATTACAGTCTATGATAGAAAATTGTCTTTGCAGGTCCACGTTTTGGTATAGCCTCCATATAATGGTACCTATCTCTATTCGGTATTTTGATGATTTTTATGACATTATTTTCCGAAAGTATTTGAAGTTCCTAATGGATACTACAGTCTATGACAGAAAATTGTTCATGCAGGTCCAAGTCCAGATATAGCCCCCATATATCGTACCAACCTATATTCGGTATTTTGACAATTTTAGGTACAATATTCACCGGAATTGTTTCAAATTTCGTATTTGAAGTTCCTAATGGGTACAAATGTCTATGACAGAAAATTGTCTATGCAGGTCCAGGTCTTCGTATTGACCCCAAAATAAGATTAACTTCCTGTATTCCGTATTTTTAAAATTTTAACAGAATTTTTAATGGATTCTTTTTGTTTATTTTCCTTATGTTGGAGGGTTTTCAAATTTCGGCCCGGACAAACTTACTGTTTTTTAATCAATTTGTTATGTACATAAATACATTTTTCCATAATTCTCCTTTTTTGTCCACTGCAGGTATTGAACTCGCAATCTTCTGATTTTTAGTCAAACACACTAAACACTTAGTGACAGTTAAGGCTTGTTTCAGATCTTAAATCTACATGCATCGTATTTTAATACATTTCTCTTTAGTTGCCGACCCTGAGTCTTGAATCCACAACCTTCGGTTTGGTAGTCCGGAGAGAATACACTGAGAAAAATATAATATGTAGCATTGGATTCTTTTTAAATAAGACTAACCCATTATTAGGTTGTTAATGTTACCTCATAATGGGCTATTCGGCTAAAATAGCTTCCAAATTTTGCTGGGCTACTATCTCTATTTCTAACTTCTTTCCTCTAGATATTCCTAGGGACTTTCAAAAAAAAAAAAAAAAAAAAAAAATAAATAAATAAAAAAGATCGTTTCAATTTCCAAAATTAAATGAATCTCCTTTCATTCACATCCTGCAGTTTGTTTGCTGCATTCTTATCTCCTTTTTCCTTACTACCACAATAAATCGCATATTATTTGCAATAATAAAATTATTCATTACCCTCTCGGCCACATTAAGACATCAAGAAGTGTAATCAAACGTCAATTTGCACAATATCTCCTCCAGCAAATGAATGGCTTATGGCCATCGTAGTAATAATAGGACGACGACTGGCTGATCTGATGTTGGTAGTGTGAAACGAACTGCCATGGAAACGCCAACAACAAAACACAAAGATATCATTCATGTCAAGACGAAAATTTCATTCATTTGGCCACTTGGTCGAGCCCACACAGTCTGGGGGGCAGAAGGCGCCAAAAATGTAATGTCATAATAAAATATTTTTTTTTTGTTCTTGGAAAGCTTCCCCCAACCTTGATAGCATTTTTTGGAAAAACATGTAATTTTTCGACATTTCACATGCAAACTGGAAAATCCCCATTACAATTGTACAATGGACGACTGGCTGGCTGACCTATAAAAGAATTAGGTGTTGGATGAAATCCTCTTTTTGTGCTGAAGAAAAACAAAAATAACTGTCATTACGGGGTTTTCCTATTTCGTTCCACACTTTAATTTGGTTGCTTGATTTTCACACCAAGGATAATCCGACAAGTCAAGTTTACTTCAAGGTTATCATTATGCAAAAAGTACTAACTTATCTCTCCCCTTCTCTCCCCTAGCACCTAAGAATTGTTGGAGCTAACCTAACATGTTGCTCATCATGCCGGGGCCATGTCATGCAAGTTGCAAACAATGGTCTAAGGACGGGTGTCAGAAGAAAGAAATGTGGGTCCTCTAATGTGTTCGACATTAACACTTTTTTTGTTTGTGTTTTCGTTGAGGTTTGTTTTGTTATTCGTACTTTTTTTGAAAATATTTTTTGAAATTTGTACTGTTTTTTTCGTATTGCTGTTGCTAGGTGCCAACCTCAAGATTTATAGTGGCTCCCTTCCTTGACGCCCTATGATATCATCCTAGTTGCCTAATATACACATATCGTTCGTTTTCTTTACTCTTTTTCCCCATTGTCGTTTTATTCTTTTCGTCTTTTTTGTTTCGAACCGCATAACAAAAGGGCGTTACAACAATGATTTTCAAATCGCGTTTAAACTGTTCTAGACAGGAGCAACAATGGCTAGCTGTCCGAGGCACTTCTGTTGGCTGAAAACAATTAAAAATTGTTGAAACGTTTTATGGTTATTGTCTTGGGCACGAGC